AGAGTGTGTATGTGTGTGTGTGTGTGTGTGTGTGTGTGTGTGTGTGTGTGTGTGTGTGTGTGTGTGTGTGTGTGTGTGTGTGTGTGTGTGTGTGTGTGTGTGTGTGTGTGTGTGTGGTGCGTGCGTGCGTGCGTGCGTGCGTGCAGTTAAAAGTTTGGACACACCTTCAAATATGAAGTTTTTTATTTATTCTAATTTGTTCTACTTTGTAGGTTAGTACAGAAGGCATCAAAACCATGAAAGAACATATATGGAGTTATCTAATTAACAAAAAAGTGTTAAAAATCCAGAATATGATTTTTATTTGATATTCATCAAAGTAGCCCCCTTTTGCCTTGATGACAGCTTTGCACACTCTTGGTTTCTCTCAGTCAGCTTCAGGAGGTAGACGCCTGGAATGGTTTTCAATGAACACGTGTGCCTTGTCAAGAGTCAATTTGTGGAATGACTTGCCTTCTTAATGTGTTTGAGACCATCAGTTGTGTTGTGCAGAGGTAGGGTTAGTGCACAGTGGAGAGCCCTATTTGACTACTGTTGTAATCCATATTATGGCAAGAACGACTTCACTCGGTAAAGAGAGACGACCGTCCATCATCACTTTAATAAATGAAAGCCAGTCGATCAGGAAAATGTCAAGAACTTTGAATTTATCCTCAAGTGCAGTCGCAAAAACCATCAAACGCTATGATGAAACTGGCTCTCATGAGGACCCCCCCCCCCAGGAAATGAAGAGCAAGAGTTACCTCTGCTGCAGAGGATAAATATACAAGAGTTACCAGCCTCAGAAACCGCACATTAAAGCACCTCAGATTAGAGCCCACATAAATGATCACAGAGCTCAAGTAGCAGACAATCTCCACATCCACTGTTCAGAGGAGACTGCATGAATCAGGCCTTCATGGTCCAATTGCTGCAAATATCCACTACTGAGGATGAAGAACAAGAAGAAGAGAATTGTTTGGGCCAAGAAACACAAGGACTGGACATTAGAAAGTGGAAATCTGTACTTTGGTCTGATGGGTCCAGATTTTAGATTTTTGGTTCCAACTGCCGTGTCATTGTGAGGCGCAGAGAAGTCGAGCGGATGGTTTCTGCATGTGGTTCCACCGTGAAGCATGGAGGAGGAAGTGTGATGGTGTGGGGGGGCTCTGCTGGTGACACGGTTGGTGATTTATTCAGAATTCAAGGCACACTTAACCAGCATGGCTAACACAGCATTCTGCAGTAGCCAGCAAAATATAAATCATATTCTGGATTTTTTTTTGAACACTTTTTTGTTAACTAGATAATTCCATATGGGTTCTTTTATAGTTGTGACTTTTGACTGGTACTGTATGTGCAAAGTGAGGTTTATACGGCGGTTTATAAAAACAAGTATTTGTATATAAGATATATATAGTTGAAAACTGTGTATGTTGTCGTACCCGAACCCTTTGATACTTGCAGAAAATTATTCTGGAATATCCGTTTTGCCCTAAATCACTTTTTATGCTCTAATCTCTGCAGCTGAGTCACTAAAACGTCCTTAGCATGTCACAGTGAAAACATTTTTTCCCCAGACACAAGTTTATTAAAGGCCCTGTTCCTGCACACCTGCATATCTAGGCTCGTGGCTGTTTATAAAAAAAAAATGTATGTGTTTATAGAATTTTTATGTTCCCACCTGTGGTGCTTTCAGTATTGTCAAATAGACAGCTGTTTAAATTGTGTATGACCAATGAACATGTATAACATAACACTGGAGATTGACCATCTGAATCAAAGATTTGCAATAAATGGTGCTCTTTTCTCACAAAAGAACAATATTAGTAAAGTCATTTATTTCATTATATTTACTTACAGATAAAGCCAGAATCATGTTCGGATATCTTGAGTTGTAGTTAATATTTTGTTGTCAGGACTTTACTATTATTTGATCAAGTAGCTTATTTAGATTGATACGTAGATCAGAGCAGAAGCATTTCCTGGTTTATAGGTGCCTCACAGCTTGGCTTTCTGTTTCCTACGGACCGTCCCTGTGATGCTGCCTGAAGGGTTATCCAAGGCAAGAAGAACCTGTGAGGGGAAAAGCATTACAGTAAGTAATAGTAAATAATAAAAAAACTAGTAAACAACTCAGCTTAAAACATATTTTTTTATAACAGAGCTTACTTCATCTTTGTTGTTGATCCCCATTTTCGTCATGTCTATGGTGATGTAATGCTGGTTGGGCATGACCATCTCTATTTCATCAACCTAAAAGACAGAACACTTACAGCATGAGTTTGTCTGAATGAGCTTGTTGGGCATGTGGCATAATATTGAACTCAACATTGTTTTATTGGATGTTAAACAAATCTACAAATGTAAGTGCTTAAACTATGCATTCCTTTATCTGTTGTAGATGCATGATACAGAATGTGTACCATACAGTCACTGATGTTGTGTGCAAAAGTAATCAGGAATGTTTAACCCACTTATTGGAGTTATTGTTTTATGCACCACCTGTGTCGAGAAACTCTGGTCGCAAAATAACCTTTCTCAAACTTTTCCATGTTGAGGCCTCGAATGTGATTATTGGGCTTTGAAAGTCCTTGGATTATAAGTTTTAGTTTAAAAGGAGTCGTAGCCCATTTTTCTTTTTAAATGAGTATTGTGGACAATTTGGTATGTTCATAATCCGTGTATCTACCGTCCAATTGTTTTTCTTTATTAAACACGTGAACGGAAGAGCGTCTGAGAGGCGTTTTTGCTTTTTACTTTTTACCTTACTGGAGCGAGGGGCGGGGCGAAACTCACGGAAGTGATTTCAAAAAAAAAAGCACTCGTTTGCTAAAATCACACTTTGAATCACTACAGTATCCTGCTGAAGGAATGGTGATTATTATAAACAAGGGGAATTTAGCGATCACAACGAAAACGGCTAAGACACATATTGAGCCCAGAAAATGAATGTTATTAAGGGCTGTAAATATAATAAGCCTCTGTCTAAAATGGACAACATTGTTAGGAGATTTAAACTATACAGCGGTTCTGCACTGCGGTCACTCAGCCGTCTCTCGAGTTTGCTTTTTCAAATCAGCCGCTCTTTATTTTTCCTGCTATATTTGACGAGTGATACAAATATTTGTTACCANGCTCCAAAAAAGGCATATAACCTGGCCGGTTTAGCCAGTGTGTATTTCTTCAAGCACCACAAGATTCATAGTTTATAAAGTACAATTCTGGGCCATTGATTGTGTTATTTTTCCAAACAGATAAAAAAATGCCTGTTTTTGAAGCCTTAAAATGGTGCAGGAAAAGGACTTTACATTGTATTATACTTAAAGACAGGACTATTTAAGAGAAGAGGAAAAAGGAAAGAAAATTGTTATAATGGGTGATGTAACATTAATGACAGACATAATATAAGGTCCTTGGCACTCAGACTCTATAGAGGGGTCATTTTGTGATCATGGGGCATCACCCTTGTATACAGCATCAGGACAATATCATATGGAGTCAGACACTGTAATTGTGCTGGAGGCGTTGACTGGGACTGATGGAAGGATGAGGCTGATGAGACTGAAGAATCTGCGAGGAACGAACTAGCAGCTGAGAAATAATCATATATTAAAAGACGGCAGCATCATAAGAGGGCAACCAGAGTGACAGAGTGTATCAGTGTGCAGTCTACCATCCTCTTAAAATACTCTGTCCAACAATATCAGTCTCATGAAGAAAGGTTTTTTTAACGCTTATTCAAAAATAGCAGAGAAACATGCANGAAATATTGCTGATATCAAGTCTACCATCCTCTTAAAATACTCTGTCCAACAATATAAGTCTCATGAAGAAAGGTTTTTTTTTTAACATTTATTCAAAATAGCAGCTCAGGAGGTCATTGACAGAGGACTACTGGAAAAGTACAAAGTAAGTACTTCATAGTAGCCTACTTGTGGGGGTAGTTTCACTAGTACTGAGTCCAACAGGATCAATCTCATGAAGAACTAATGGAAACAAAAAATAATTCCCTCATCAAACTTAGCAGAAGTGGCTTGATTTTGTTCTCAGCAGGGGACTTTGAGAGAGGATTTCTCAAAAAATACACAGTAAAAGTACTTCAATGTATTGTTGGTAGTAGGCTCACTAATNAAAGTACACAGTAAAAATACTTCATTTTATTTTTGGTAGAAGTCAAACTAGTACCGAGTCCAAGAGTGTCAGTTTCCTTAAGAACTTATGGTAAAAAATATCTGTATCAAATATAGCAGGAATAATGAAGAGCAGCTGATTTGAAAAAGCAAACACGAGAGGCGGCTGAGTTGACCGCAGTGCAGAATCGCTGTGTAGTTTAAATCTCCTAACAATGTTGTCCATTTTAGAAACAGGCTTATTATATTAACAGCCCTTAA